TGGCGGATCCAGGATTTTTCAAAGGGGGTTTCCGTTTCTTAAACTGTGTATAATTCTCTTTTGTTTAGTCGATGTTTGACAAAAAAATTGGCTCTAATCACCTAATTTACTATCTAGTAACGGAACTTAAAGGCAAATTAAACATTATACCAGAAAATATCTATCATTTCGTGTTCAACATTATCTTTGTGGATACTTTTAAGCAAAATTTATATAAGACATATTTCTATTACCTAAAAGATCAAACCTTCAAGGGGGGTTCCGTGGACCCCTTCGACCCTCCCCTGGATCCGCCACTGGGAAGGCAAGCAACCTGTAGCTGATATTGGTATGCAAAAAAGAACCCAGATAAACAATTTGAGATGAAAGCGTGCATGGAAATAACTTCTAGATTTCGACAAGCGAGCAATACTTTTATCATAAAACATGGTGGATAGTAGCACGTGACCTCGGAGTATGAACGATCTAAATCGTGGATCAATAATCTGTTCTTTTTGCTTATGCTAGGACTTGCAGTTGCGTCTTGCCTAGAGCGAGCCATTTGCGTTTCCGAAGTTCAAAGAAAGACTGCTAACCGTAACGACTTCCTCCTATAAAAAATCGTGGACTGAATGGGATGAGATCAAAATGGCTACCCACCTCCTTCCATATAATTTTACCCAACAATTTTGTTATTCAAAAGGATGAATTTCGACTTGCTACAGCACTTTCGCCTGAGAATCCAGCGACGCCTTCTTCCGCATGACTCCCTCGCATCCGTTTTTAGTGTCGGTCGCGCGTTGCGTGACGACCGACACTAAAAACGGATGCGAGGGAGACTATCTTCCGCATAAATAAATAAAGATCCGAAGATTCTCCTGAAAATTAGGAAGCGACTTAAAAAAGGTTCTAGTACGTGGTTTTTGTCTGCATCTATTTATTTTCATCTATTTTACCCACAGACATTATCGTTTCTTTTCGGACATATTCCAAATAACAAAGAAGCAGTCTTATCTTCGCTAGGGAATTTAGATTGACAAAATCTACGACGGCGACGTCAACCGGAAGTTTAAATAACTTAACTTTGGGGTTTCACGCCTTCAATGTTTGTATTCCCCGTGGATGAGTTGACTTTACAATGTTTTGAATGAAATCTCCAATGGACAGTACCCCCAGAGAAATTATTTACACTTCCGGTTGACGTCGCCGTCATAGACTTTGAAAATCTTAAGGTCGCTACTTTAAGAGAGATTTCCCGATTGTGTACTTAAAATGCGGTGGCTTATCTTACTCTTATATTACCTTTCTATCTACAACGACAGGTGGTTTTATCTCATCACTTTCGTCATGGTCATCTTCGTAGATTAGTTCAAATTTTGTTGATATATTCCCATCGCCTAAACATGTCAACATAAAGATTAAAGCGACCAATGTCAAATGAATATAAAAGTCGGCGCTAGTGACAAGCCGTTGGTTGTTTGACAAAATAGACCCTTTTCGGTAGGAGGTAGGGGGTAGTGGGAGGGGGAGAGCACAAGGGGTCCCCCCCCTAACTGAGCCCTTGTCAACTTACCCAGTGGTTTTGAAAGTGAATCTTCAGCTAACTCTAATAACACCTCATTCGTAACAGGATTGTATCCAAGAACGGTTCCTTCCTAAGAAGCATTGGTATGTCATGAGTAAAGTAATGCACATACATGTTTGGTTTAACATTGTCCTTTGGCGAATAATTGTTAAATATTATACAGATACAGTCTGACCTCCCCGCCCATTGGAAATTTCAAGCCTCTTTCATGGGCAGGATAGCATAATGTTTATAATGATGGTCGGAAATTTTTTTAGAAATAACTCGCTAGCTGAGAAAGGGGATACAGCTAATAACCAAAAAAATTGTGCTGCAGGACAAAAAAAAAAAAGAAAAAAATTAAATTACCTTATAATCTGACATTTCAGGTGTGTATGATGCTGAAAGCTCTAAAATCTAAAAAAGGGAACAATGTATATGGTAAAGATTTAATTTACTGCCAAGTGATTTATCTTCTCATTCATACAAAAGAAATAATACTAAAGGGAATGCCTTTCTTACCTTGTAAGCAATTCTATCACCAACTCTGGGAGGCCCACATAATGACACAAATGTGCTATAGTCTACTGCCGTCTTCTTAGCTGCTGCAGCATGTCCCATACTATCTATTTTTGCATCCCCTTTTCTTTTCATCTCACCGTAATTAAACGAATGACTGTCATTATTTGATGGTATTTCATTGTCCCCTTGGGCACAATTTGTGTTGTTATTTCCATCAGCGGCAGCATCATGGGAATTGTTATCATGGCTTTGAGCAAGTAAATTAAGATTTTCTTCACAAGCTGAAATATATTCATTCTCTTCATCTGAGTCAAATCTTATGTGACTATTATTGATGCTTGGTGGTTGAGTATAAGTACTCTTGCTTCTATTTATTCCTTTCAAAATAAAAAAAAAATTAAAAAAAAAAATTAAATTTAAGTGGGTGTCAATTAATAGGGTGTTGAGGGTTGGTGCAATCTTGTCCCAGGGGGGGGGGGGTACTACCACCCCAACTTGGGTAGGGGTGTGCCGCCAGGACCTCAAAACCCTGACCCTATCCCAGACCTAACATTTTGATTTTACATACCCTACCCCAGATTAAAGCTAAGAATTGTACACCCTATCCCAGACTAAAAGACGGAAAATACGGCTTTACAATCGATTGCAATCAATATTTACTAACATTTTTATTGTTTTTGTGTCGGCAGAAAGCGTAGCCTATTCAATGAATGTCAAAAATAATATCCTACCCCAGAACCAAAAGCCGAAAAACCATACCCTATAGGGCGGCACATACCCATATTGCAAATATAGGGGAGTACCCCTCCCGGGAATCTTGTACCCAGAGCCTGCATTTCTTCAGGTCTGTGGCAAAGAACAAGAAAACTACAATTGCTGCCATTGATACTGTACATATATATAGCTATACATTGCAAATTTCACATATGAAGACCACATCAATTATTGATAATGTAAAATAATTGTGCAGACATCATACCAGCAAAATATTGTAATACATATATGAAACATGTTCTTGAATACCAAACCTGATCTTGGGAATGTGTTTCCATTTGTCAAATTAGTGTTTTGTCTTTCTTGCTCAGAAACTTTGGATGGAATTCTGGCAGTTTCAACCAGTTCTTTGGAGGATGAAGATGCAGTCACTTTGTTGTTGGTATTCTTGTCCAGAACTTTATCTTTTGTCTTTGAATTTAAACCATCCTTTTTTGATGGATGTGGAGTTTTTGGCAGATTTTTTACAATTTTATTCTGCCCCTTATCAGAAGCAGTAGTTGCTTGATGAAACTTGGATTTGGTTTTAATATATTTGCTCAAACCTTTATCATTAGACATTAGGTTTAGACTTTCCTTTTGATTACCAACACTCAAATCAACAGACAATGATGATAGTGTGCTAGATGATGATGATGAAGAGGATGAAAAAAGTTTTTTGTCTGAAAACTTGATGTTTTTGTTGAAAGCATCATCACTGGAGTCCTCAGTGGATGAAGATGATGATGTGCAATCTAAAAGAGAAGAAGATGATGCAGAAGATGAAGATAAAAATGGTGTTTTCTTCGTGTTTAATATTGTTGCATTTCTCCTTTCATTTCCTTTAGAAAATTTTCCAATTTTTGCTCTCTTTGCAAAATTTTTCAAAGATCTGTTTTCTAGGATTTCATCTTCCGTCAATGATGACGTAGATGATTCTGATGATGGTAATGTCTTATTCCTGGTAATAGTAACATTCTTGGATGAATATCGTCCAGATGGTAAGCCTTTGTTCTGACTTCTTTCAACTATATTACCTTTGTGAGGTTTTCCTGCAAGGTTTTCCCAATACTTTTCTTCATCTGATGACAAAGTAGATGACTCTGAAGATGATTCTGATGATGATTCTGATGATGATGACATAGTTCTGTTCTTGGTAACAGCAGCATTCTTAGAGGGATGTCTTTCCAAGGCCAAAGCATTATGCTTGTCTTTTTGAACCATTTTATTACTCTTGCAAGGTTTTCCAACCTTTACTTTATCATTTTGTGATTTTCTTTTGCTGTTGCTGTCAGCTGTATTTATGGGTTCCTTTTCCGACTTTCTTCCCTGTTTCTTAATAATTTTCGTTGGAATTTTCTTATTTTTCTTTTCTTGAATTCTTAAATTGAAACAAACAAAAAAAATAGAAAGAGTTGAGGTAAAATTTAGCTCCCCTAGCTGGATGAATAGTCCCTTTTCCTATTCCGTAAATACTGCTGTGTTTTTAATGACTAAAGACTTGTCTGCACAGGTTTAGCCTTGTTTAAGAGCAAATCATTTGCGAAATTCAACTGTAATGTAAAGAATGTGCAGCTTGAACAATACTAATGTTTTGGATCCCACAGACTTTTTATAATGGTACATGTATGTAATAACATATCTGTGAATAGCTAATAAACAATGCTAAATGAGTTTGTGGTCTTCAAAGACCCAGAGGGGTACTACCACCCCAACTTGGGTAGGGATGTGCAGCCAGGACCTCAAAACCCTGACCCTATTCCAGACCTAAAATTTTGATTTTACGTACCCTATCCCAGACTATAACTAAGAATTGTACACCCTATCCCAGACTAAACCTGGTTAGTCAATAGATTGCAATCAAT